AGAATTTTTTAAATCATGTCTCGTTGCCACCAGCAATGTGCATAGGAGGCTGGCGGGCTACAATTCTTCCAGCACAATGGAAATAATTTTAGCTAGTTTCTGTGGAGTGTGGTATTCTGTAGTACAGTATATATATTTGCTTGGACTCTTGTACAGATAGCGAGGTATTTTTCTAATCAGTTATATGACTTAAAAAAGGTAAATGTTGGAGTTGTTAGAACTAATAAACCATGTTGACTTTTCATATAGGTTGCCCTGTATTAAAGCTCCTGCTTCTGTTGTTTCAAAAAGGCATGTTTTGTGCTTAAAAAATGTTTTTTGCATTAATATGCTAGTTTTCCATGAGTTCTCACATGTGTAATTGGTACTAGTGCTGAGACGCCAGCTCACTCTCATGGAATCAGGTGAATGCCATCAGGCTTAGTGCCTTGAATACAGTTACATTGCCTTCAGATTTTTCTGACTTGGTCTTTGCTTATGAACTTTGTTTTGTTTTGCTTTGCTTTGTCTGTTGCTGAATATCCTATGAGGTATTCTTGTTTTTAAAAATGAATGTTGTGTGTATTAAGAAAAAGTTTTATTTTTCCTTTATATCATGTTTCATTTTACTATCATTTGATCTTTGTGTGTGTGTGTGTTGGTCTTTTGTTTTATACTGTTGATTACTTTATGCTTTTGCATTGCTATTCAGAAGTTTAGTGGCTCTAGATAAATACATAATTTGTTTGGTCACTTGCATTCCACTAGAGGGGAAACAGCAGATGAGGAACTTGATCATTCCATGGATTTATAATGAAGATTGAATATACAAATGAATTATAAATAAAAACGAGAGACACAGTTGGATGAAGTAGGCAGCTTTAACTAAACAGTGACACATGAAGGTTATATATTTCTCTATTTCTCCATTAAATTGATGGATATAATAGGATGTTACAATTTGGTGTTAGAGAGGGCAGGTTGCCTTCAACTTTTTTAAAAAAACAAAAACAATGGGATAGTTTCAAAGGGAAGTTGTTCCTGTAGCTGCTTCCAGACAAATATTTCCTTGCCTTTTCTAAAGGTCCATTACCAATCTTAGTTTGCTGATAAATAAATCATATGGAATGTTTCTCAGAGGAAGACCCCACTGAGGTCTAAGTTAGGTACTCCAGAGTAACTCAGTTGGATCGTAATATGAAATTGTTATGTGCTACAAGTATTGTGCTATACTGTTCGGGAGCAGCATTATTTATTTATTTATTTATTTATTGACTTATATGCCGCCTATCTAGACAATGTCTACTCTGGGTGGTTCACAAGTACAATAAAATCAATTGTAATATGGCAACAACTTTACAACAGTTTCACAACAATAGACAGTCCTTCAAGATGGAAGATAATAAGTACTGTAGTGGGATTCTTCTTGTGCTTGAGACACCTCCAAGCTAGACCAGTGGTTCTTAGCCAGGACTGGGAAGGAAGAAATATGAAAGCAGATTCAATACTTCAAAATGCAGTATCAGCATGTTACTTTTGTTTAGTTTCTGCTGTTTTTAAGGTGAATTACATTTTTGCCTTTTTTTCTGACAAGAAAAACAATACTTACATTCTCTTTAAAGCGATTGTTTATTCTTAGTTTTAGATCATAAAAAAGCAAAGTGTACTGCTTATATACCGCCCCATAGTGCCTTCAAGCACTCTCTGGGTGGTTTACAAGTTAATTACTCAGGCTGCACATTGCCCCCCCCAGTGAGGTGGGTACTCATTTTACAGATCTTGGACGGATAGAAGGCTAAGTCAACCTTGAGCCGGCTACCTAGGATTGAACCCCGGGTCGTGAGCACAGTTTTGGCTGCAGTACAGCAGTTTTAACCACTGCGCCATGAGGCTCTTTAACAAATATATTCATAAAATGAATATATTTGTTAAAGGGGGATTTAATAATAATGTCTCAGAAATCAGAAGCGGGGAGCACAATGCCAAAAAGTGGAGGAACTACAAGAGTATAGTTTTACTGCTGTTAAAGCTAGAAGGGTGGAATATGTTTTCTTCTGAAGATTACAAGCATACAGTACTTGTAATCAGATGTGTATAGTGGCAGAGGCAAGAAAGAGAATTGACTGGAGTAGAGAAATATGATTGCTGGAAATTATTTACATGATATCTTTCTTCCTTTTTCCCATTTTTAAAATAGTATCTGAGATCATATCCATTGCTATGCCACGTAAGGCTGATGGCAACATTAGCCACAGCAGAAATAAAGCATCCTTCCAAAAAGTTCAAAGATGGCTGTGGAAAGTCTTTGATCATATGGAAGCAGTTGGGGGACACAGAATGGCGGGGGGATTATTTAGTTTCCAAAGTAATTTTCAGTAAACTCGTCCTGCTTGTGGCAGTTTAATTTAAAGACTCAACCCTATATCATTCCCACCTCATGGCTTCCACATGATGAATAGTATTTCACAGGAACTCTGGGAGATCAGAAACGTATTTCTGAGAAAATAGTGGCAGCTGATGACACTGTCAGTTGTATGCAGCATAATTTATGGAAGTGGTGCTCTCTTTTTTCATTTTCCATAGTATAGTTGACATGATCACAGTGTACCTGGACCACTGCAGATGACCATTGCAGATTACATGTAAAGTTGCAGAGAGAAGGGGAGATAATAACATAATATAGGGAGAAATAAGAACTTTCCCCTTCCTTTTTCCCCCTGTACATAATTTGATTTACAGAGTTTCCTGAGGAGAAGAGCAGCTAAGGAGAAGCTCTTGTTAAGTAAGGAAGACGGAGGAGGAAATTCCATTTCAGGAGCATATATTGCACTTACATGTTTTCCCCTCATTTCACAGGGAATCATGAATGACCTTATATGTGAGAGGTTTATTTGCTGTCAGCATGTTTAGTTTGGGCCTTAGTCTCAACAAATACCTTACGTTTTTCAAATAATGCAAAAATATTTTTATAGAGGTTTAAAACTATACATTTTAAAATACAGTATTAACAAAGAAGCTTTTGTGAGCAGAATTAGGAGCATTCCAAACATAGTTCATTAGTAACAATTGGCAGCCTAGACATTGTTCCATGCATTTTTATAGCAGAGAGGTAGATAGTAGGCATTGCTGCCACTTTGCTTAATTAGTGAATGCATACCAGATACTTTAAATTATAATGATAATCATGCCAGTGTAATTGATAAGTTGGCTTCTTTGTTTTTACAAATATAAAAAGCAAATACAATATACTGGAAGATTTTGCAAATCTCAAATTTCTGACCTGTGGCTAAAAGAGATGATACCAGAATGTGAGGTGGGAATCATGGGTACCAGAGAACTCTCTAATTTCCCCTAGTTAGGAGAAAGATAGAAAAGTTGGGAAAATTCACTAGCCGTGGTGATGAACTCCATAAAGTACTTCATCATCATATGGGTTGGTGACAGATGATGCTGTCTCTGCCTGCAGATTACTGCTTACTGTTGACAAATAACATGTTTTAATGGCATGTACAATTCTTTCAACTGCAGTCATTTATTATATTTTAACTATACTTCAATGCTGCCCAATTAAAAAAGGGACAGTACTGATGGAAGACATATGTAATGGAGCATAGTATTCCAGAGAATAAAATCAGAATAACAAAATCACCGGGGGGGGGATTAGATGTTACAATGCAGAGTTTAAAAGGCATGGAAAAATTAAAAAGCCTTTGCCTGACACTAAACTGCAGAATAGGCACTAACATAGCTTCTCTGGGAAGCCCGGGGAAGAAGCCCAAAAGGCATATTTCCCGGCAGCTTTGTATCACACTTTACTTGGGAATGGCAGCTGTAGCAAGGTCTCTCAGGATGATCCCTTGTCATTCTCTTGGTCACATGTTTGTGAGAGAGACCTTTTGAATAATCTGGGTGTTGATGTATCTACCTATCTGTTCATTAATCTAAACTAAACTTCTAAGGACAGTTGTCTTCTGGTACTCTATTGCCATTTGTAATTGCCCCACCGGTGACATAATTGCACTTTGGATATTTTTATGAGAAGTATTTTCTAGGATTTCAGTCTGTAGAAGTATTTCACCTGTGCTAAGTATAGATATGCTATGTTGCCAATAGAATAATACAGCTGTAGAAGTGCAGTGCTTTTTAAATTTTATTTTATTTTGAGAGAGAGCTTTATCATACAGGAGATGTTCTCCATTTTGTTATGGTTCATACAGTCACCTAGTACTTGGGCACTGAGAACATGTCTAGCCACGCAGATTGTTCCTGCTGTTCCTACTTTGCTGGACATAGATTTCTGTACCTCTTCAGTCACGTGGTACTTACGAAGCTGAAATAGACCAGGAAAAATGAGGAGGAAACCGGGCAAACTCTGTGGCAAGCTGTGCTTCTACCTGAGTTCATTTAAAACAGGTTTCAAACAGTTTAAGGCACTTTTACAGGAGCGAAAAGGGACTTCGCAAACCCATTCAAATGCATTGAGTCGGCTTCAGTGCATTTCAATTGGGGAACGCGTTTCCCTTAACGATGTTTCCTATGGGGATTTTCGCTTAAGGATGGCAATCTGTTCCAATTGGAACGGATTAACCGGTTTTCAATGCATTCCTCTGGGAAATGGTGTTTCACAGAACGATGTTTCACAGAACGGGGTGTGTTTTTTTGGAACCAATTAACATCGTTGTGCGAGGCACCACTGTATATCCGGCAAAGGAATAGTCAGTTACAGCCAAATTAAGAGTACTGTATTACGTTAACACTGGTTTTTTTTAGTTTAGTAGATTTCTTATTCTTGTGATAAATGTTACTCTATTCATAGTATCTTCCACATACCAAAAAATGAGAGAAAAAGCTATTTGGGCCTTACACAAAATACGCCTTTTTTCTTTTGTCACAATTTGTTACTTACAATTAATTTCTACTTACATAGAGCTTTTTCTCTTAAGTTAGGTACTTGAAAAATATTTGTGCATTTAATTTAAAAATGTTGTGTTGTAAATATTTCCCTTAACTTGAATACTCAGATATTTATCCAAATATAATTGCAATGGGTTTTCCTGCAGAGCGACTTGAAGGAGTGTACAGAAACAATATTGATGATGTTGTAAGGTAAGCAACTATGTGTGAATCTCCATCTTTTAGTCTATCTTAAACTTTTTGTGGTTTTTGATCTGTTTAATATTTTTGTTCAGTGTTCGTGATGTCTGATATATAAGAAAGGATAGGATAGGTTTTGAAATGGGATTCTGTTCTGCAAATAATTAACACTAGTATTGTAGTAATTCCTGTTTTTTTTTAACATTAAGTGTATATGAAATGTCTTAGGTAAAATGTGAAGAGTCACTTGTGAAATATGTTTCTTATCCACAGGATTTCTCATTCACGTTTATAATTTTTTACACATTTGTGTAAAGTGGTATAAAATAAAACTGATTGCATGTATGTAGCAGCTCCTTGTTTTGTTTTCCTTCACTATCACTGGAAGAAAACCAAGTTTTAAGATGGCTACTCTGTTCTAAGAATGTTAGCAGTGGCAGTGGTTTTTCATATAATATTTTAAAATTGTATTGTATTGAGTTTTCAGATTTTTCACTCTTGCAGTTCAAACTCTGCCTTGCTGTAGGCCAGCATATATCTTAGTCCAAAGTGCCTGTAAAATTCATATTAAAATGTCTAAATAGTCTTGTAATATGGAAATTTGGTAGTGAGGCTGATTGCATCATATAGTACTCTCTTCTCTGATTTTATTATTCTTTTTAAAGACTGTATGAAATTTGGGTATTAGGAGTAGCAGTAGCCAATACCCAATAACCTTATGTCAGTTTAAGTATTGCAGGTAATGTTCCTGTATAGCATGTCTCACAAATAAGCCTGGATTCTAAAATTTGGAGCAACTGTGTTTGTTTTAAATATGAAACTAAATGTTACAGTGGCCAACTCTGTTCATTGTTGAGGCATAAGCATATGGATATAGTTTTAAAATGTATTTCATGTGCAAAAATGCACTGTGGTTTAACATGTATAGATTCATTTAGCACCTATTTGTAGTAACTTTGTTCTTGGAAATGTATTTTGATGTTCTAGCTGTATCTGTAAATCTTCCTAACAAAAGCTAGAGAGTTCAGTAAATAAGAGCGTTAAAGGGGTTTAACATCAGAGCTGGAGGATAATGTTTCTACAGAAGACTACTTTTGGCTGCTGTGATTAACTGGAATATTTAAAGAATGGGGATATAAGTTAAGGCAAAAAGAAGAATCCTGACACAGTGGCTTCTATGTTATGTCTGTTGTAGTTGAACTACCTATTCAGTTGTGTTCACTTTCTAGGATTCTTTAGGAAAGAGAAGTAGCTTGACTGATGTGGTGAGAGAATAAGACTTAGCAACAGAAGTTAACAATATGGAGCAGATAGTAAAAAGATGGAGGGGAAAAGCAGTCATGTTTAGTGAATAAATTTGTAAAAATAGCCTTGACATGTATCTGTTCATGCATATGGAGCAATTGATGTGAACAGATAGTGGAGTGGAGGAATAAAACTGGCAAATTAAAAGATGATGGCAAGAGATTGAGAATGTTCATATGTATTATTAGTCCTTGGCTAATATCAGTCTGTCTACTGGGAAAAGCTTATCAGGATAACAATCATTCAGGTGTGCTCCAACTGTAGATGCTGAAGAAGAAGAAATCAGAAGCTTTTAAGACTAGTGTTCAGGGTGAAATTCCTCACACACCAAACAGAATGTGCCAATAACACAAACGTAGGACATAAAGAAGAACCAAATATGAGTGTGAGCAATGAAGTAAAAGAGCAATTCATAGAATTCATAATTTTGAATACATGTTACAGGTAACAGAACAGATGACTGTTCACATTAATGTCACCATATGGCCAATATAGAAATCACATAAAGAGGTGGTCAGCAGCCCCCCCAGGTCTGCTAAAGTAATACCTAGTGGGGGCTGTAGTACAGTCCATGAACTAATGATATAAAAAAATTAGAATAATCCTGAAGAAGAACATTAAAGTGCAGGAGAGCATATTATCAGATAAGGATAAAATTAAGACAAGATTGAAATAACATACCAAGAGTTATAAGGACATGATACCAGGATGGCAGATTCCTTTCAAGAGGAATCCTATGATGAAGAACCTTTAATTTTACAAAGCAAAATAAAAGCTGTATTTAAACCACTTAGAAGAAATAAATAGCAAAAAGTGGATAAAAGATCAATAGAATTATTTCAAGCTATAGAGTCTGAATCTTCCAAATTACTAAGAAAAAGTTGCCAACAATTGTGGAAAATAAAACAATGGCACAATGACTGGAGATATGCAATACATTCAATTTTAAAAAAGTGAAAGAATGTAGTAACTATACAATCCAGAGATTCCTTTCAAGTTCTGCAGTTCTAAGATTATTGTATTAATTTCCCATACAAACTAAATGATTTCAAGGTTTTACAACAGATACTTTTACCATATATGGAGTGAAACATGGCAGATATTCAAGCTGTTTCGAAAAGGAAGAGACACTAGAGATCATATTGCAAATGTATGTTGACCAATAGAGCAAACAAAGACATTTCAGAAGGAAATCAGTCTGTGCGGTATAGATTACGGCAAATTTATTTTACTAGATAAATAATGGAACACCACAGAGTAATCTAAAAAAAAAAGCTGATGTGCTAAAACATTCAGTTTTACTTATAAGTACCGGTACTCAGAAAAAGATCCTGCTGTTAGAACATGGAATATAAAGAAACAGAATAGATTCCCATAGCCAAAAATATCAAATAAGGATGCGTTTTATCTCCCCATCTGTTCAAAGTGCATGCATTCAGAATGTATATGAAAAATTGAGCCACTTTCGGGAGGGAGTAGAAATTAGTAGAATAAATATTGATAGTGTAAGATACACAGATGATGCCATATTATTAACAAAAAAGGACCAAAGACTGCTGATGAAAGTGCAAAAGCAAGATTTCAGTTGAAGATTAAGAAGACAAAAATCATAATTACAAAAGATAGTATTGACAATGAAGAAATTGAAATTGTTTAAAAAAAATCTGGGTCTTGGTTGAGTCATAGGTCCAAATGGAAATTGCAGCAAGAGGTCAGATATTCAGGGCACCTATGAAGGAATTGGGAAAGATCCTCAAATAGAACAATGCCTCTCTAAAGACTAAGCCAAGGTTATCTGCACTGTGGTTTTCCTAATTACTAAGTACAGATGTAAAAGCGAAGTCTGACAGAAAAAAAATAAGATTATTTGAAATGTGTTAGAAGAGGGCTTTATAGATTCCATGGACTACTAGAAGTATATGGGTTCTACATCAGGGGAAGCCTGAAATCTCTCTAGGAGCAATTTGTCTAAATTGAGACTATTGCACTTTGGACACAATGTGGTAAGACAAGATTTGGTGGCAGAAACAGTAATGCTGGGAGAAATTGAAGGCATCAGAAAAAGAAAGTGACTGAACATAAGATGGATTGATGTAATAAAGGAAACCATATCTTTGAGTTTGCAAGACCTGAACAAGGCTGTTAATGACAACCTTTTGAAGAATATTAATTCATGGAGTTGCTGTAAGTTGGACACAACTTTATAGCGCTTAACAAGAACAGGTTCTCTGCTTCCATACACTCATTAGTTTGCATACTATATAATTACGAACAACAAGCATTTATTATTAAAATTGGATACTATTTTAATTTGATTTTGCATTTTTAGTGTTCATATGACACATTTTTCTGAAGAGAAACATGGTTGAAAATAAATATATGAATCAAATGGAAACATAGCAGACTTTTTAAAAAACTCAACTATTGTGAGTAAAGAAAGAAAACTGTTGAGAGAACATGTTTATTGAGCATTACACCAACATAACTGTCTATGTATGGATAATAAGTCTTGATAGTGTTGGTTGGAGTTAACAAGACCTTGCATGTGGTACAGTTGAAGTGATGCTATTCTTCATTTTTCCAAGATCACTTACTGAACCCACATGTTTTATGTTTAATCATCTGAGTTCTGTAATGTCTTCAGTTACAAAATTTTCAGGAGCTTTACCTGCCCAAAAATTTAACGTGTGTTGGAACTCAGTAGGTACATTGTTTGCTTACTGTGGTGCTTATAGATTCTTGATCCAAGGGCATTAATACAGCTAGAATATACTATCTTTCAGTGATTACTTGCATTAATGTCTTCTTGGTATTTAGGAATGAACTTCAGTAGATTCATGTCACTTCAGTCAGTGTGCTGTTATTTCAAACAATTGTTTAGGCCAGTAAGGTTAGGTGAGAATATGAGAAAAATGTTTAGAAGAGAACATAAAAGCCTGCATATCTCAAAAGCTTGCATGTCATGTGAAACCCCTGCAGTCTTCTAGACTTTTATTGGCTACTTGAAGTTTGATATCCTGGTTATATTTAACAGATTCACAACATAGTTTGTACATTTAGATAGCAGTAACTGCCCAGCTGTTTGAAATAACCTTTGCTGTGTATGGTAACACCTTTTAAAACTTCCATGGCAATGCGAGAATGTGATAGATAATTCCAGTTGTTAGAGAAATGTATGCTAAAACTTGCTGTAAATAATTCAGAAATAAGGTGGAAAATAAGTTTAGTGTTGCATGAATAATGTGTGGCCTTAACATGCAGAATAGATAGTATGGCTAGAGACAAGTTTTCTCCCTCTTTTGTACAGGTTAGCTGAACAGATAAAGAGTCTGTAGTGTTTAGGCTAAGGGCTATAGCTACTTCTAAACAAATCTGAATTCATAAGTCAGTTTTAAGTGATGGATTGATGGCTTAAATTTGATGCGCGAACGTGTTCTTTGTAAGATCTCATCCGAGCCAGCTGTATTGTGGATTGGTTTCCATTAAACTTTTTACTTAGAAGTTTAAGTAATCTTGGCTGAAATTCTGTTGTTTAGCATAGTAATTTGCAACTAGAATAGGCCAATCGAACCAGTAGAATTTATGAAGGAGTTGACTCACCTAATTCCTGCCTATTCTACTTGTGATTTACTATGCTGAGCAGTAAGATTTCAGCCAGTGATTCATGAGCTCAGTTTAATCTAGGACGGTTCTTTCCTTAACATCAC